ACTTTAGGGCCCAGATGGGAAGACCATGCACTGAAATATACAAGGGGTGTGTGTGTGTGTGTGTGTGTGTGTGTGTGTGTGTGTGTGTGTACACACATGTATACGTAGCCAGCTCCACAGAGCTAAGACAGACAGAAAAATGGAGAAAGAAAAGCAGCAGTAGAAAGAGAAGCAGAGAGAAAGAAAGAGGCAAGAAACCTCCTAAAAAGCGACCACCCTGGCCAAGGACTGCAACAGTGATGATAGCGAGAGGCCTAGAAGGGACAGAGCCTGCCCTGGGGGGCGGGGCAAGAGGAGCCGAGAGAGCAACACTAAAGAAGAGACTGCCTTCGTGCCTGCTGCAGCCTGATTCCTGAGTTGTACCCTACCCCTAATAAACCACTTACCTGTCCATTGGGTCCGTGAGCTCAGTGAGATGGGGCAGTGCTGGAGTGAGCCCCGACAGGGGAGCGAGAGCACCCACGTCAGAAGCAGAGTGGTGCAGCCTCTTGGAGAAGGTGGGACTCTGGGGTAGAGCTGACTGACCACTACCTCACAGGGCTGGCTGTGGACGGATTCTTATACTTACGGTTGATTCGTGTAATTGATAGCGCGAGAGTGGACACCTGAGAGAAGTGTGATTGCCTACAGGGCAAGCAGCCGCGTGCAGCTGGAGGCAGGTGGGCTGCACCTGCTCGGCGAGGCCAATAGCACCTGGGGCTCCTGCAGGCTGGGGGAGACCCCTCCAGCCTCCGCAGAGAGCACGGCCCTGCAGCCCTGCCAACCCCCTCGCCTCTAGAACTGGGCGACCGTATACATGTCTGGAACTTTAAGCTGCCCGCTGCGTGCGTGCGTGCGTGGCCCGCCGTCCCCGCAGCCTGAGAAACCAGTGCTGTGGTCAGGTGCCGACTCACCGAGACCTGATGGCGAAGGACGAACACCGCTCGGTCCTGGGCCATCCTCGCAATTGATGTGATCTTTGAAGGAAACTAAGGGTTTCTGTTTGAATACATTGGGTGGAATTTCTAGATAAGTGTGAAAAGAAAGAAAAAAACTTTCCCCCAAAGACTCCTAAGTAAAATTCCAGGGAGATGTACTTTGTCCCGGAACGCTCAGGAATGATGACAAGGGGGAAACGCTGCCGTTTATTAAGCACCTCCTGTGTGCGGGGCGCTGAGCTAAGCACGTGCGCCAAGGGCCAACTATGCCACAAGGCCTGGACCCACGCCCCGTATCGTCCATCGCCTCGCCCGCACGTGAAAGCTGAACCACGAATAATGAAGCAGATGGAGAGTTAATGTGTTTGAATTGTGAGGTTGGTGCAGGACTTTGAAAGGAGCCCAGCCTGCCCAAGGGACAAACAAGTCTGTCTTGGAAGAAGTACAGCCAGGGTGCTCCTTCGGGGAAGGAACGGCGAGACTCTATCTTACAGACTTCAGACACATTGTCTGGTGGGACCAGTCCGTCCCTGGGTAACGGGGAGGAGCGGTGAAAAAGAGAAAGGCCGTCAGGAGATGGATTGACACAATGGCTGCCCCCAGGAGCCCCAGCAGAGGACAGTCGTGAGCCAGCGCAGGGCCCGGCGGTGTTTCCGTCTGCCGAGCACGGGGTCACGAGGCGTCAGAACTGACTCCTTGGTCTCTCACAACAGCAGAGACCGCTGAGGCTTCTGAGATGAGCAGTCACCGGCTCAAGGAACAAAGCTGGCCAGCAGTGGAGCTGGGCCCAGGACAAAGGCCCATGTGGACTGCATGGAAAAGGGCGGTCCTTAAACCATCACACAAATGCATTCTGGGGGTTGACTGCCTTGACCCAACCTGAGTCCCTGAGCGGCAGCACTCCGTCCTCTCTAAGAAGGGACCACACTTTCAGCATCTCTGGTTCGAGAGCAACTGGTGCTGGGGCCAAAGGCCCTGGGTGTCTACTGGTCTCCGAATGGCTAGCTTGGGCCCAAACCAAGTCACACCAATACAGACTCAGCTCAACCGGCTCCATCACCCTGCAGCTACATGACACTGGACAAGTCCAATGGTCTCTCTGAATCTCACTTTCCTCATCGGCCCATCGAAGAGGATAAAACGAGCTGTAGCTACAAACAGACCAAAAAAGGACTGAACAGAACGGAGGTCCAAATGTTGCCCGTAGTGGTTGGTGTGGTGTGGTGTGGTGCCACTTTGTGATTGCCTGTGTTTTCCAAAGTTTGTCTTTCCCCAGTGGCTGTGAGCACCACAGGGCAGGATCTGCTCTGCCCCCCTGCAGTTGTATCCCCAGCAGTTGGCACAACAGCAGCTACAAGAGATGTTTTTGTTCTTATAAAATGCCCACGTTGTGTTCGTTTGGGGTGGGTGGCTTAGAAGGGAGACATTGTTTCCCTCAAGCTATTTTTATTTTCTAAAACTCGGGCTTACTCTTGGCCCGATGACCGCCCTCACTCTTGCTCAACAAAGGGGATGAGGTCAAGACCCAAGACCCACCTTGTCCTGGTTGAAGCCATCTTTACTGCCGGGCTATGGATCTTGCGGCACAGGGAACCCGGAAGGGATGGGGCACACTTCCTGCCTCCCTGAGGACCGTGGGGAAAGGCTGGTGCAGAGGACTTTCTTCAGGACTGCCGGTGGAAGGCCCCCCAAACATTTCAGAGTCCGGGCAGGTGCCCAGAGACCCTGTTCAGCTTGACTTCCCAAGCATTCTCCAAGCACCTGCCCAGCTCTGCGGCAGGGGCTGAGGCAACTCACCTGAACGAGAAGGGGCTTTTACTAAAGGGAGTCCTTCGCTCACCTTGGTGGGAGCCCGGGCAACAGAACTTGCCTCTCCAAGCCTCACTTTCCTGATCTGTCAAATGGGCATGGTGTCAGTGATAGTGCTTCCCTTACCGGGGCCCCAGGAACAAAGGAGACGGCTCGCCCTGCCGTGCACCCTGTGGTTCAGGCTGCACTGGCCATCGGAGCCTGCCCTGGGGGGAGGGGGGGGCCGTGGGACAGGAGGGGAAGTAGACCTTACAAAGCAGACACCCATCCCATTACCTGTGGGAAAAGGCAGGCTGGGCAGGGGCAGGGCGGCATAAGGGAATAAAGCAGGAGTGCAGGCCAGCCTAAGGGGTGAGCAAGAGCTGCCTGGGGGAAAGGGCACGAGGCTGGCACAGCACGAGGCACGGGCCTTAGCTTGGCAGAGGAGGGCGGTGGGGGCTCCCCAGCAAGAGGGAGCTGCGTGTCCAAAGCTGAGACAACACAGAGCGTGGTGGGCTCAAAGAACCAGAGGCACATCTTGCTGAAACAGAACAGCAGCAGCCAGTGCCCCCAAATGTTGACAGTTGCTGCTGTTGTTAATGAAAGCGCAGGCAGGTGCCAGGGCCACCCACAGTGTGGGCATGCGGGGGCGCGGGGGTGGGTGGGTGGGGGATGTGCACATGCGCCCCACAGCGTCCATCAGAAAGCCTCCCTCCTGCCCACCCATCCTGGAGCTGGTGACATCTGCCTCCCCCACCCCGCCCCCCCTCTCCACCACTCCCTCCCCCAGCCCAGGAGGGGATAGGAGATGCTTTGGCGGGTTCCCACCACAGCTCAGGCAAAAACCGGTCAGTCACAGCACTTAGTGCACAGCCAGTAGAGCAAAGAGCTCAGCGAACAGGCCCTCCAGACAGACGGAGAAAAGGTGAACAGAGACACGCCAAGACCCCCACACACAGAGAGAGAAAACTGGGAGGGACTATCTGTGCCTGGGAGTGACCTGGGCACCCCCCCTCCCCACTAACCCTGCCTCAGGCTGTGTGAGGACCAGGCAGTTGCTGTCACTCATGATGCGGCAGAAGGCTGAGATTCCCATCCCCGAGGCCACTGGGGCGGAACACCTGCAGCAGGGCTCCTGAGAGAGGGGGTGCTAGGGCTGGAATTCCAGGACTTCTGGCCTGGACTTCAGGGGGGTGGCGGGGGTAGGGGGCGGTGGGGGGGAGTTGGAGGCGCCTGCAGCCGGCGGCTGTGCCAGCTCTGGCTCTGGCCCTTTAAGAACCAAAGGGTGAAGGCATAGGCCCGGCCTGCCCTCTGCTTGGAGGAGACCCAGAAGTGACTCATCTCTTCTGGTCCTGGTCACAGTCCTCAGTCCTCCTCTGGAGGGAAGCAGGGGACCCTGGCAAGAAGAGGGTGCTGTGCCAAGGGGGCCTCCAAGCAGCGGTGGAGTGAGGCAGGGTCACACACTCATCCGTCTGGGCCGAACCTGCCGGAGGCCAAATCCTGACCTTGACCAGGATGCCCGCTGGGGCCTCCATCTGCCAGGCTGGGGCCTCCTATTGCTCCCAGATTCCCAAGGCCAGACCACAGCAGTGCCTCCCCCGGTGCCCCCCCACCCCACCCTCATTCCATCCACCTCCCCCTGCAGACCCGCCTGCTCTGCCAATGAGGACAGACGGAGGTAGCAGGGCCTTCCCAGGCTGTGGGAGCAGGACTTGAGCCCCTTCAGTTGGACTCTCTGCACCCAGCACCCTCCCCACTCGTCACCCCTCTGCACTCTGGCCACCACACATTTTCCAGGTCCTCAGAGCTGCCACACTCTCAGCGCGTGCCCCCCAAACAAACCCCGCCCCCACAAAGTTCTCTGTGCCTCCTCAGCTCCTGCTCATCGAGCAAATAAACTCAGGCCACAGAGCCCAATGTGCACTTCAGAGACACAACCCCTCACCTTACGCCTCAGTAGGTCGACAGACCCTTATTTCCTCCTGAAAGCCCTCCCGGATGGACCCCAGAACAAGGCAGGCCCCTGCTGTGTACCCCCATAGCATCTTGGGGTACCCGGTCTTGATTATTTTTCTAGAAGGGCTGGAAATCTACCGCGCTCCCCACTACCCACAGAGCCTGGCCTTTTGAACGAGGAAGTGAGGGGTGGTGAGGCAGCCAGTAGACCCCTAGGCCCACGTAGGCCTTGTCCCCCAGCTGCTGGGCCTGTTCCCGGGGTGCAGGCAGGCAGAACGCTCTAGCCGGCAGCCTCCAGTTCAACTCCCCGGAACCAGAGCAGAAGCAGCCACAATATCGCAGCAAGGGCAGCTAAGCAGGCTCCTTTATTTATTTTGACGGCTGCCGTTAGTTTTAATTAAGAGCATGTTCCGCTCAGGCCCAGCAAGAGCCTCCTAACAGGCATCTGCCAACAAGAATCACCCGGTGAGGCAGAGTGGGCCGCTGAAGCCCACAGGGGGGGACCGGATGAGGGCGGGGGCTGAGGGGCAGTGAGCCTCGGGCTTTGAGCTCAGCTGAGCTCCTAGCTGGCCCGCCACGGGCCCCATACATTTTTTAACAGAAGGAAAGCATTCTTTTTTTCCCCCACAGTGCCAAAAATAGCCCCATCGCCTGCCTTTGAATGGGAGTCCTTTGGTTCCACAAAGAGGCAGCAGCAGGAGGGGCCTGGAGGGGCGGGCCATGCAGGCTGGCGGGTGGCCTGGACCCCTTCCTGGTGGCCCCAGCCCCAGTGGGGTGAGCGCCTGACCCGCTGAGGCCCAGCCTCCCAGGCCTGACCTCTCAGGATCCATCCCCAAGACATAGTCCCTCCATCCCTCATCACACAGCCCAGGAGGCAGGAGGGGCCGGGAGGAAACAGAGGGTGAACCCAAAATGGATGAGAAGCTTCATTTCTCAGTTGGTTCATGTATTCACACAGTTGGGGTTTGGGTTTTTGTTTTCATTCGTTCCAGCAACTATTTCCCGAGCACCTACTAAGTGGCAGGCTCTGGGCCCTACTGAGTGCCAGGCTCTCCATACACGGAGTCATCCACACAGTTTTCCTGGTCCTCACAGTGAAATGGGGAGAGAAAACGCTGGCACCACCAGATCTGACGGACAGTTTGGGGGCCTCCTAGCTGGGCCCAGGGACCTAAGCCTCTCTTCCCCAAGAAGTGGCCATGGGCATGGGGGAAAGCTGGGTACTGGCTGGAGGGGTCATTAAGAGCAGGAGGCAAACCACAGGGTCGGATGGAAAG